ATTTATAAATGTGTGGTGTTCTTGAATTTGATTAATGTTATTCTTTGAAGGGAGGTGGAGAAGATGATTTTAAAGAATTATAAATATGTATACATTTAATTAATGGGAAAAAAATTCTTTTTATATGATGTTGAATTTTTTTTTTTAAATCTTTTGAATAATTTTCTTTAAATAATAATAGGTACAAATTATAGAGAAAAAAAATTTTAATTAGGTTAACTCGCGGGTTGACCCGTGACCCGTGGTTGGTGGGTTAGGGTTTGCCTTCATTGACCCGTAACCCGTTTTAACCCAACCCATTTTGACTCGTTACCCATTCTGACCCTACCCTAACTCGACCCAACCCACCCGTTTGCCAGGTCTAGTTGGTGTTAGATTTGCAAATAAATCTTGATGAATTCCTTCCTTCCAACTTTTGATTTCTTCAATGGAGTCCCTTTCTTTCAACTTCATTCATCTCCTTTTCCAATCCTCTTCACAGAATCCTTTGTTGATCATGAACCTAACAAGGAAGAATAAAACAAAACATATCAGTTAAAATAAAAATAAAACAAAAATAAAATTCTACTAAAATTTGAGTTATGACAATTGCAACAAAACTTCATCCACCACATCACAAAATGAAACAAACCCCCACCATTGAAGGGATAACACGTTGCCAAGAACAACATCAAACCCTACTTGCGAAGGTATAAAGCTACACCAACCCCATTTACAAAGGCAAAAAGCCACACCATAGTGCAACGTAAACTTTTACTATAGAAATGATGAAGCCACACAAAAGGCTAGTACAAACCCTCACAAAAGGAGGAATAAAGCAACATGTATATATATATATAAAAAAAAGAAGATAAAAAGCACTAAGAAACCCCACTGTTAGATAAACAAAGCCATCCATGCAATTAGCGCTTTTCTTTTCCTCTTGAGGAACAACGGCTCTAGAGATTTTTGGTTTTTCGCTAGCTTTTCCTTTTACTACAATTGAAAGAGAATAAAGAAAAAGGAATTGCACTCACAAGAAGAGTGCAAAAGAAAAAAAATGTCTTTTTTTACTTGTGGGAAAAAAAAGCCATTAAACTCATCGTCTAGGCAAATGAGCCCTCATACTCGTTGGGTTGTGGCATTTTGGCCATTGTTTAATGGTTTCCATCAAATTTAATGATTTTTTAGCCCTTTAGTGAATTTTCAGTTAAATTGATGGAAATTATTGAAATGGGCTAAAATGCCATAACTAAAACGACTATAAGCGCTTGTTTGCCTTGAACTTGAGTTTAAGGGCTTTATTGTCACTAAAAAGTGCAAGGGCTTTTTTTTGTTAAACCCCCAATTTGATCCTT